GGAGGTACCAAATGCTGTGTATGGAACAATCATCCCTATTTACTATGGGAAAACTTCTGATCTTTTGTCCCCTATACTTGGTAAATCTCTGGCCCCAAATTAACCACTGTCCTGCCTTTGCAGGATGACTGACTGGCCATAAATTAGGAAGAGAAAACTATTGGATATATCACCCCTGCACCAAATTGTTTCCTTCATGGTGCAGAATAGAGGAGAGATCACCTGGTGTCCTACTTTCCATTCCTATTCTATTGCTGCTGTGGGAATAAAAGGGTTAAGGCTGGAATAGACCAAGTCCCTTTGGGACTGTCCATGCTAGTTGCCTACCATATTTCTTTGGAAAGTGCCTTTTGAAAAACCCTTTTCCTGCTTTTTGTCCCATTTTGTCAGTTAAATGTTCTTGAAGTTTGCTGATGTGTAAGAAATAAAGAGGGAGCTATATATTTGCTGTCTGATCTGAACTGTGTGTGTGCTTGCTCTGATCTGGGTATAGGGACTGACTGGGAGGGTGCTGGGTGCAAAGGAAATTGGAAATTACAGAGTAATTTTCGTACAAAAATCCTGTCATGTTCTGTTTAGGAGCTGAATTAGTGCTAAGCATAAATATCTTGTCTACCTGTTTCCATTCAATGTGATGAAAATGAATTTGATTTGGTAACTTTTTTTTTCCCAAAGGAGAAAGAATTTCAGTGATTTTGGATGTATTTAGTTGCAAGATGTCTTGTCTTTACTGAGGTAAAAGTGGCCAAATCTCTCTATTGTACTCTCTAGCTCTCAGCAGCCTTTCGAGCTTCCCATATTCTCAGTAAATTTCAAGGGAGGATGTCAGGAGAGAACTACAGGTAGTCCTCGAGTTACGACCACTCAGTCAGCGACCATTTGGAGTTGCAACGGTGCTGAACGAGGGGGACTTATGACCAGTCCTCAAAGTTCCAGCTGTCACAGCGTCTCTGTGGTCACGTGATTGCAATTCAGATGCTTGGCAACCGGCCCGCACTTAAAACAGTTGCAGCGCCCCGCAGTCACGTGACTGCCATTTTGTGACCTTCCCTGCCGGCTTCCCACAAGCAAAAGCAATGCTGGAAGCCAGCAAGGAAGGTCGCAAGTCACTCAGGTAAGTCGCTCACACTCCCACAGCTTTTTCTCCCGAGAGACTGGCTATGTGATCCTTGGTTAATGACGGCAACTGAGACTACTGTTGCTAAGCGAAGCAGTTACATTATGTGCTTTACGACCACATTGCTTAGCGACAGGAATTCCGGTCCCAATTACCATTGTTAAGTGAGGACTACCTGTGCCCCCACCCGGGAGTGAGCCTGCCCGCCTGCCCTCCTGCCCTCCTTCCTTCCTTCCTTCCTTCCTTCCTTCCTTCCTTCCTTCCTTCCTTCCTTCCTTC